CTGAAAGTCAAGAAAACAAGCTGAGAAGGTGAATGCAGGTTGATTAATAAGAGGCAAGCATTGCTCCTCAAAGCATAACTCCTTGGTTGGTATCTTTAAAAGAAGCTTTGAGTCAACAACTCCCCTTCTCCCCCTTCTCTCCACTGGGTGGGAGTTCTCTCTCTCCCTCTCCTTCTCCCTCTCCCTCTCTCTCTAATAACTCTATTAACTTCCAAGCCCATCTAGCAAAGCTAACTTGTTCTCCCACCCCCATCCCCATCATGAGGTATGTTTACAATTGTCAAAAAGAAGACAGGGTCCCAGCAGCTAGAGGGCCCCTAAACACAACAGCCAACAGACAAAGCTGGAGCTAAATTAGCAATGGAGCCTTTCCACACAAATGGACATTGCTTCTCTTTCCACATGAAGCATCGAATTTAACAGTGTTGTTTAAATAAAAAATATGCTCCTTTACATGTTAGCAAAACCTTCAATGTGCTCTTCTATCTTTCTAAACTTGGCAAGACTTTTCCTCTAAGCCATTTAGAGTAACCAACAAATGTGAAAACCTAATTCTATTGATATTTTTTGAATCTGCACACTCAATTCCTTCATTTAGGCTACTACCCATGCTACCACCATATGAACCAGTTTGTTAAAATGTGTTGCAACTAAAGCTTGGTGGGCTTTGAATGCTGGAAAATCTTTCTCGAGGGCTAATGAAGACAGAAACTCTGCCCGTTACAATATTAAGTTTGTTTCCTCTGGTGATTCAGAGAAGTGAGCAATCTGTCAGCAGTGCATTGAGGGAAATTACTTGTCTTGGAGGAATAACTGCTGACAGTCACTTTATCTCAGGGCTGACCCAAACATCTCCCCACTGACAAACAAATTACTGTCTAACTTTGCAAAGGTAGCTAGCTAGTTTTAATTTTGATTGCTCTTTCAGAATCTCTTATATAAATACCCACTCCCACCATTTATTGTATTTTTAAAGGGTAGCAGATGCATGCAGCAGTGTATGTGGGAGGGCAGGTTTGAATTCATAAGCAAGAAAAAAGGAAGACAAATGATAAGAAAAGGAACTGTGAGGCTTCACGACTGTGCATGAGGAAGCTGGGGAGCGACTCGACATTAAGACTGGCAGCATTACCAGTGACTGACTGGGTGAGTGAACACATTACCCACACAGTACTGTAGGAATTAATTTTCTTCAATAAAATGATTTTTAAGGATCATATATTTCACAATCTAAACATATGTCACTGTTTCATAAACAAAATAAATGGATTAAAATAATACATTACCAATATGCTGACATGTGGAGATATTTTAATTAGAAATTCTTAAGCTGTGTGGTATTTAACTGCTGGATTTGCCAAAGAGAAGCACGCATCATTTAATAAGAAGGCAAGAGGCAGGTGTATCACTTTGCATATGGTACCAGATTGTGTTTAATATAAGCTACAACTATGAGACAACATTGCTCCCAATTAAAAACAAAACAAAGCAAAATTACCGTAGGATCTATCATAATGATAGTAACTACATGAAATGAATCAATACACTGAAAACACTTTTAAATAAAAAAAAATCCAGAAGTCAGGTTCTGAGACAGTATTTTCTTCAGACAGAATCTAACATAGTATCTATTTAAAGGCCATATTTACATGACCACCTCATTATTCTAGTCCCCTTTCCTGAACGTTCTTTTTGACTTACTTAAGGACCAATGCTAACACAGCTACAGAAAGCAAATGGCAAGCGGTCCAGAAATGTATACGGTGAGAGCCTCGGAGTAAGTAGCAATATAATATATTGTTTACTGTGGAAAGTGCCCTCTGTTCTGGAAAGGTCAAAAGCATTGTAACCTTAGAGTTACAGTTTCCGATTGTTCCCAGGGTTAAATACATTATCAAAATTAATGATTCGAGCCCCTCAGCCTTCAGATATATGAGTATTCGTCCCTCCATCTGCTCAACTGTTTAACTAAAAATAGCACCTTTGGCCTCCTCTCTCCTGATACTGTGCCCCTGAGGCAGGGACAACCAGGCCTTAGATCAGAACAGCTTTCAGTGTCTTCCTTAATTTAAAGACAAACTGGAATATGCTAATGTCAGAAGGGTCATTCAATTTTTAATACCTTTTCTCCACTTGATGCAAACTTTCAGTCTTTAGGGTATAACTAATGCTGCTAAGGTTGCAGATTTATTGACATTAGAAGTGACACCTTCTGAAGGAAAGAGGTAGAGAAAGTAAGTCCTGAGCAATGCATTGGATAAGGGCCAGTATGTTCGAGTACTCCTCCTAGGAAGCTCTATTTGTAACGAAAGCCAGGCACTTTCACAGTTTATCCTGACCCCAATTATTAACAGAACCATGACATTTTAGCTTGTCAAAGAGAGGAAGAAAGCCCCAGCTTACAGCGGAGGTAATTTAATAGCAGTAAAGCAAGTTATTATTAAGTTTTTGCTCTAAATATTCTAATATTGTTCTAATATTCTAATATTGTTGCCCAGCAGTTTAGATACAGGTCTCTACTTTGTTGTTTAAAGATGTCACAATAAATATGACATACTTAGGCCAGGAAATCTGGAAACCTGCCTTTCACACAAGTGTAACCAGTGTAGCACAGAAATAAACATCAAAGGCTTGTTGACATGCAGGAAAATAATCTTTTTGATGCAAAGAAAAACAACACATATCCTTCCTCAGATACAGATCTAACCTATGAGCTCTACACCTCTTCTCTATGTAGACAGTTGTAAGAAAGGAAACTAAGAGAGAGAGAGAGAGAGAGAGAGAGAGAGAGAGAGAGAGAGATTAGGTAACAAGGAAAGACTGGATGTAGGCAAAAGGACACATGAGTTGTGAAAGAGAATAGAAAACTAGTTGTTTTTCTACTTTCAACTCTGTTGGCGTTTTTTTTTTTTTCTTTTTTGTACAGTGAAAGTGTAAAACCCTAATTGAAGCTCCAATGGCCAATACAACTGTGCAGAAGTTCACTGAGTTTCAGGGGGTTGGGAGTAGCTTCCTTAATCCAGCTGCTTGATGTTTTTATTTGTGAGTTCATTACAATAAAGAGGTTTCTTTATAATAAATTTTCTTTTTTGAGACAGGGTTTCTCTGTATAGCCCTGGCTGTCCTAGAATTCACTCTGTAGACCAGGCTGTCCTCGAAATCAAGAGATCCACCTGCCTCTGCCTCCTGAGTGCTGGAATTAAAGGTGTACACCATCACCATCCAGCTTATAATGAAATTTTTTAATTAAATAATACAATTTTAAAATGGAGGCAAGAGAACATAGTACAAATAAACCCCAGGATGCTCTCAGACCAGATACACTTAGACTACAAAGCTAGAAAAGTTCTTGCTAGTATGGGTTTGTTATTTGGCCCAATTAAAGTGACAGACATGTGACATCTGCCTAGCTTCTAAGCCAGCACCTTTGTGACTCTGGGAAGCTATGGCACGTCTGTGGTGACACCTTGGGCTCCAGAAGTCAGGTCTGACACCGCAAGCACTCGTGCCTGTGAGGGAGGATGTCAGGGGTGAAGCATGAGGTCAAGAGAGAGGTCTGGTGGAAACCTAGCTAAAGGAGGGAGGAAGGGACAGAACATACATCCCTGCAGACAACCCAGACGAAGAGCTTGAGCCAAGGTCACCTGCTTTCCAGTCTCCTAGGCACATTGTAGCTCCTTGGGCTGCATGTCTTGAGTGGGTCAGCTTGCTACCTACCATCACACAGAAAGGCTACCCCCCATCTCCACACACCTCTCTTTATTCCCTCTGGATCGAGCTGATTTTCACACTGCCCAGGAACATGGTGCATTTCTATAGCCAATAAAAGGCCTCTGAAAGAAATCTCCTCTGGCTATGTAGACGACTGCAGGCATTGTGTGGTCTGTGTCTAGTCATGTCAGAGGGGAAACCCCAGTTCCCCTTCCCCCATCACTGGGGAGTGACAGAGAGTACTGCAGACCATCCTCAGGCCATTTCAGGGTGGCCTTTTGTCTTGTCCTCCTCCTCCCTAGATGTGATCACCCCATCATTTACCATCATTTTCCAAACAAGTGGATTGAAAAGTGGCAGAGGAGAGCATTCAAAGGGTCAGAGGTTACTGATGTATCCACATGGATAGGACCAAAGGGCTGAACATAGATACAATGATAGTTTTGATAGGAGAGGAATGTGTAATTTCCCATCTGGGTTAGAATATAAAGTTTGGTATATGGTCTAACCCAGAAAATGAATCTTTTGGTAAATCAGTAGCTACCTGGCAACCATCCAATATTTGCCAGTCCCAGAGAGGGACGCTCATGGTTGACACAGGACAGGGATACAGCATGACACCACAGAGAAGGCTGAGTTCCTGTTGCAGAGAAGGACTTCATCTTCTAAAGGGACACATACAGAGAGGCATGAAGTCCCCATAACACAGAGGAGTGTTTTTCTGGGTGGTTAAACACTTTAAGGACACCCAAGAAACTTGTGGGTCTGGCCAGGCCTAGACACCCAACTTCAGCCAATGAAAATTGAGTTAGGAAAGCAGTTCAGACAGGGTTAGCAAGTATGGGTGGTCACCCCGACGCCTAGAGTATTTAGCAGTTGTGGCAGGCTCTCTGGACCTCTCTGCCCCTCAGCTGTAGAACTATACAGTCCGAATCAGAGGTAATCAAGGTTCCAGGGGAGGATAAGGTCAAACGGAAATGATCTTTAGTTTAAGTATTTGTTACACATAATACAAGATTCTACATGAGAATGGGTAAGAGGGTGTGGCAAGACAGCTTTGAAGCTACTCAAAAGAACACAGCAGAATATAACCTAGTTTTATTCTTCAGGTTAGGTTTTGCTTTTTTCTCTGAAGGAAAAGGAAAAAGAGAAAAGCCTCCTTAGGACTGAGGACAAAAAAGATAGGCTTTAGCATTCAGGCTATTTGCCACTTTTCAAAAGGCCTAGAATATGCTGGAACCATCCAGTCCCCCACCCAAAGAAGCACCGATGGACAGAAGCATTCATACCTCAATCTGTTTGTGGTTGTAAGAGTGGCCACCACCATGTTCAAAGGTGTCCAAATTCCTGCCAAAACGGTCACTTATGCCCTTTAGCCTTGGGTTAATTTGTGGGTGGGAGACATGACCCTTCTGTTTAATGGCATATTCAGAAAAAAAAAAAAGACAAAACATATTGTCAGAACTCATGAAACAACACGGAATTCAATGCAGGGTATAGACCACATCAAAGAACAGAATGCAGTCCTAGACCTGGCCTCTCTGTTTTACAGAAACTGGTCACAGGACCAACCAGTGAGTACTTGCTCCTGCCTCTACGTCAAGAGAGCACCCACAGCACAGCCACATAGCTGGGCGAGAACTAGAGTAGGGTTACCAACAGGAGGGCTCCTTTTAGAGCTTCCCCTGATGCAGGGACCCAGCCTAGTGTGGGGAGTGTATAAGGCAAGTGTCTGTGAAGAGAAGTAGCTGGCCATGCTGCTGCCAAGATGTCCCTGTTCCAGGTATGTCTAGTGGGGACAATTCTGTGCTGCCCAGGTGAGGCTTGTGATAGAAACTTCTCCAGTGTTGCAAACATTCTCCTTACTGACCCAACTGAAAGTGTTTAGTGTTGTGGGGTTTTGTTTGTTTATTTGTCATTGTTAAACAGTGGCACACTTTTTATGGTCAAGTCTCACAGGCAATTGCAACACAAAAATACTATCTGTTCAGAAGCTCTTCCTAGATTCAAAAGGAAATCTCAAATAAAATCAAACAAAAATTGTCTTTAAGGAACTTTAAAGTGTATGGAAATTTAACTTATCATGTATTTCTAAGTAATCTAATGCTAAAACTTTGACTCTCTGTTTTTACCACTGAAATATATTCATATTTAAAGTTAATTTATGGCTTTGCTGGGGGTGTTGGAAGTGTGTAAAGGCCACCCAGGCCTCTTCTAAATACCTCATTTTGCTATGAGGAACATAAAGTGCAAATACTTTTTCAGTCAGCCTCCAAGCATGATTAGCTTGATAAACAAGGGACACTGACCCTTGTCAGAACTGAGTTGGGTACCATGCCTAGACCTTTAACCCTGTGAGAACAAGGTCACACTACACACTTGGGAACAGGGTTTCTATACTTTGCTAAATAATCAGAGTAACTAGGAATAATGGCTCCTTGTTCCATGAGCTACAAGGAGAAAAAGGCCCAGCGTGGTCTCTGGTCTAAAGCTGATAGTAGAAAAGCTAATCTGTATATTTGTGTCTAATGGAAATGCAGATGAAACGTTGATAAGGAAAAGGGTAACACATTCAACAACTAGCTTTAAACATTGTAAAACTGTTAACTTTCCAAAAGAGAGCACACAATTCCAAATTGTGACATCAGGTTTCCTTTTGAAAAAGCCGCAACTGGCACTTTTCTCTTCCATTTCCAGTATGCTAAGTACAGAAGGTGTTAATTCTCTGGACTATGATTAAAAAATGATTTACCATTCAGGCCATTATTTAGAATACAGCTGGCTTGCAGGTTTCCACTAAAGCACTGGCCCTTCTCCCACATTCTTTTTACCTCCTGGCACTTACCTGGAGCTGTAAAGGGCTGAGTCCAGAAGCAGCAGCAGCTGCCATTGTTGACGGAATGAACTGTACGGGGTAGTTATCACCTGTCGGGAAGAACAATGCGTACAGGTTTAGACAATGCACAGGGAATCGCAGCAGACAAGTATAAACATGGTCCTTGGCTCGCCCCAGCTTTACAACATTGCCCTAAGCCCAAACATCTGCAGAAACAAAAGGCTTAGCTGGGCACAGGCTTGCGCTGCTGCCTTGGAACTTTTTGTTAACAGATAGCTGGTAGGCAAACTGGCAAAACATGAATGTGATGTTGAAAAAAATTAAATGTGCAATTCAAGCATGTTCGCTCCTCTACAAATCTTGTAATACATCATTTTTTTTAAGAGTCAGAAAAAAATCTTAAAGCCAGGCTGATGCTCGGCACACTGTGAAAAGAGGTTTTGCTCTTAGAGAAACTAAGTTTGCACTTGGTAGGTAAAGTGTAGTCTTAGAATACAAAAAAGACTATTTACTAATGGCTGGCCATAATGCTAAGTTTTATCTCATGAAAAGTTAACAACATGATAAAAAAAAATCCCCTTTAATATGGCTCATCTTACCTGCTGGCACCCTGAAATGCTGGCACTTTAGTGACTGTGGAAATCTGTCTCTTTTGGTTTTACCTCTAGTACTAGAGTAGTGGAGCTTAGTGCAGAATCACACACACAAGGCACTGATTGAACCATTTTTGGTGATGATAAATAAATAACTACACATTTTGCATGGGCTGTCTGCACTGAAAACCTGGGCGTGAGTGCTCTCTATGCTGCTGTAAGGTATTTGAAGGCCAAGCCAACACCTACCCAGGAGATGGAAAACACCTTCTATGACCTGAGACACAGGCCATGGCCAAAGACCCAAAGAGCCAAGAGAAGGGATGAGGACATAGTAGAGTGGCAGCAAGTGAACTAAAAATTAATATCTGTGGATGAATCACACAATATCAATGACTTAATGTAGTAGCACTCTGGCTCTAGCTACTTATTTAAAGTCAGTGTTATGTACTATCTCTAGGCTATATTTTAATAGGCTGTTCCCCCACACATTTTTGACATTTATAATAATCATGCTGTTTTGCATGAACTTTTCCACACTGAACACAGAATGTAATAATGAAGAGACATTGCAGGAAGAATTCCAGGCACTGAGATTGTCAACTAGAAAACAAGAGAATCTCTTGTTTTTGTGTCTGCATGGGCGCTAACACCTGCAGCTTGCCTGGTACCCCTCCTGCTTGCCATGTAAAGTGCTACTCAGCCAGCCCAATGTAAATGTTAAGTCGCTTTCACTTTTAACAAATTGTTAGCTTCTGATCTGCAGAGTCTCTTTGCGTCATATCCATAATACCTCATCAGACCATTGAGCACAGTGTGTGCCTGTACACAGTTCAGTAACAATTGGCTTCTGATTGCAAACGGGGTGCTGCTGCCGTGCATCACTTACGCCATATTGTGCCGGTCTCCTATGGAGTCATGTTCAGAATATCTGACCTTGTTTTTCCCCTTCCATGAGGTTGATTTGAGTCTGCCCTACGCTATGAGCTTTTTAAAAAAGATAACGAGGCAAAATTATTTTTATAGTAAATGACTATCACTTTATGCTTAAATAAGTCTACTGATCTTCTTGATATTTAAACTAAATTATCTGAAGAAAGACTATCTTGATCTAAGGCATATGGTATTTTTTTTCTTTTGGTGGATATCTTATCAGCTTTAAAAAACCCACAAATGATACTGAATTAATGATGTTTCAAAAATAGAGGGAAAAAATAACCATTCCACCCATCAACACAGACCTCCTCCCCAAACATTTTAAAGCTGTTCTTTCTTTAAATGTCATGCATTATTCATGCAACTCTACACCACAACCCCCTCCCTAGAAGTTTAATACCAGTGGCTTTATTTGTACTAAAACATTTTTCATGTCAAACATATTTTAAAAAATCAAACTCTGAAAGAATTCCCCAGGGCACTCCTTCTCCATAGCTGTCATGCCACTGTGCCGTGAAATAGTCGGCTTTTTACATGGTTTCTGGCTTGCCAGTTAATTTATGACTATCTCTACCACACCCTGTAGTACTCTCCAGCTCACCTGCTGGCTACAAACAGCTTTCTTTCCACTGTTGACAAGCATATTTTCAAAATATTTTTAACCTTTCTGCGGGTTTGAATCTGCATATCTGAATAGATCTTCAGAAAGCTATTTCTCCAGAACCCATCATTGTATCAGTACTAAAAGTCAAAATGAATACATTAGAGCAATGGAGTATATCACCAAGGATGGTTACAAGAAGGAGGGGAGTGGAAAGGCGGGGGAGGGGGATGAGAGTTACCATACGAAAAAATGTAAGAGGGAGAGAGATTTCAGGGCAACATGAGTTTAGCTTGTGGTAACAAAGTTACACACTTCCTTCTACCCACTCTAATTTTCTAATTTGTAACAGTTGATCAAGAAAAGTTTGCAGAAGCTGACTTGGCAGGGAATCAACCAACATGTCGCAGCAGTTTTTTTTTTTTTTCCGAATTTGTTTCTGGATGTGAAATGTTTGCATGAGGACCATTCTTTTTAAATTTGTACAAAGGAAGCGGCAGCCTGTTATAACAGGTTTGCTTTAGACATGACTGTAATCTGGCCCTTCTCAGACTAGAAGTCTGAGAAGAGAGTCCCCAAACATCAATCTGAGAAGCAATGGTCATTCTCTAAGTCCATCTTCTAACTATCTAGCTATTATTGTAGAGCGAGCACAAAACAGAATTGAGACCCACATAAATGTGGCTAAACGCTGAAATCCATCAAAGCAGGCAACATTCCTTTGGCATCCCCTCCACATCAAGAGTCCCAAATGAGAGAGAAAGTAAATTCTTAACTTTCCAGAGACACTGAGATAAACCCAAACCTTAGTGCATTTAATTAATCACTAGAGGTAGAGAACTTATCCCAAGACCCTGGAACACACTAGACACCCCTCAGAATATTTTGAGTGGATGCATTTCATATATAAATCCTACTTTCTAAAAGGAGTCATTTAAAAAATCAGAAAAACACACTCAAAATCTCATAGTAAAATTCTGATCAACTATTTTCATTCTTTAGAGAGGCAAGGGATTGGGAGAGTTGTAGATCCTAAGATTTTTTTTAATTATAGATATTAATACACTGTAAAAGTCATTTTGAGAGTTGGGAAGAGTAGAAGGGAGAAAGAAAAATCAGAATTAGGAGTGAGGACTCAGATTCTTCAGTAATGGAATAAAGTTTCTCATTTCATTTTCCACCCTCCAAAATAAAAGACCAATATGTTACACATCCCTAACTTCACAAATTATTATGGTGGCACTATAGGAAGTTGACAAATCCAAGGGCCATACTTTCATGAGGTATCATTAGAATAATGTCACTATACAAAAGTTTCTAATTCAGAATTGAAGGTGTCACTTTTCCCCATTTTTTCTTGTCCTCTGAGAAGATAAAGTAAGTTCAGACTTACCCCTGTAGTAAAGGTTTGCAGGTAATATGTGATATATTTAAAACTTTAACACACTACTTTCAATTTGTTCAGGGCACATAAAAAATAGAAAGCATTATGATATACATTGCTGAAACCAGCACACATTCTCATGTCTCCTTCTAAATTTGCCTTCTATTCATCAAATACTATTCAGGTGAAAAGATTTTAGCTTGGTTTTATTTATTTATTTAACTATCACATATATTGCTCTATATGCCTCTTAAAAAGCTAAAAATCATGGGCCATATTTATCCCTTCACTTATTTTGTGGATGCATCTTAGATTCTTGGCCAATCATCTGAAAATCATGGCATTTGCATGATGGCAATTAAGTAAGTGAATATGAATGAACAGATACAAACCGTCCTCATAAGAAATCAACACAAATGACAACTCAAAGCTCATGTCTAACTAGAGCTCATTTGTGACAGAATCTCCACACATGAGAAGACACAGGAAATAAACCTTGATGTTCATAACACAGGTTGGGTTACACCAATGAGGCTATCTTCTTGCTGGACCTCAGCACTCACACTGAAAATAGAGGCACTGATGGGAGCATTGCAGAAATGCTTCCATTCTAGATATGTGGATTGAATTAAGCCCTGTTCCAATGTTGGTGATATACCTCTACCTTGAAATATTCTGAAAGAGCAATGACTGGCTTTGTAAGATGTTGCTTGGATAAGCTCAAACAAAATTATTTTTTAAACAAAAAGTTTAAGAATTCTTTAAGTTTATGCCCATCTCGACTATGTTCCCAAGAGTATAAAATATCCATTTGGAGAACCTTAGCCTGAATTCTAAGACCATTGTTTTTGATATGTAAAGCCCCAGAAAACTTAACACTTAAAAAATTTTAGTTTATTCTTTTCATTTAATAAAATAGAATACCATTTATCCCTACTTATATCTTAGGGTTGTTATAAAAATTAATGAGATTACTCACACACATGGGGTTATCTTGGCAAACAAATGGTATGCAATAAAAGAAAAATCAGCTAACAACTATAAGCATTGTATGCCAACCAATTAAACAACTCAGCAGAAATGGAAAACACAAAAATTACCTAACTACTCAAGCTCAAATAGGACATCTCAACAGACCTATAACAAACAGAGATTGAATTAGAGATCAAAACCCCCAACAAAGAAACAACTCGACTAGAAGGGTTCCCCAGCACTCTGTCAAATGCTGAAGAAGCATTTATACCACCTTTACGAGCTCTTCCAAAAAACAGAACAGTTCTGTCTATTCTATGAGGTCTCAAATACCTTGACGACAGGTAAGCATGTCACAGGAAAAGAAAATTTAAAACCAATATTCTTCATAAATGTAAATGAAATATCTTTAATAAAACATGAGCAAATTCAATCCAACAGAATATTGGAAGCATTATTTGCCATAATAAGCAGGATTTATCCAGAAATTATAAGGTGGTTCCATCTAAGCAAATCAATTAAATGCATTACATAATAGAACAAAGGTGCATGGGGAAGTCTTGCATGATCATCTCAAAATTATACAAAAAGCATATTCAATTATTCCATGAGAAGAACTCCCAGAACTATGAGTAAAAGAAAAACTCAGAATGACCAAGAGGTAAAGATTTCCAGTCAACATTGTACTCAATGGCAAAAATTAAAAGCATGGCCTCTAACATCAGGAACAAGATAACAATACTCATTTCACTGATGTCATTCATTGCTGTCTTGAAAGCTCCATCCAGTACTACTACACAAGAAAAAGATGGGAAAACATCCAAATTGGTAAGAAAAGTGAAAAAATAATCTATTTTGGAAAACACACACACACACACACACACACATATATATATATATATATATGTGTGTGTGTGTGTGTATGTATATATATATGTGTATATGTGTATATATATATATCATACACATATATTAACACACAAATGCTCAATTTAATTATTTGTGCCAAGAATAAATATAAATAACCCAAAACGAAATTAAGAAAGAAATTCCATTTATAATCCTGCCTAAAAGAATTTAACACCTGGGAATAAATCAAACCAAAGATTACATGGAAAAAGTTACACCCTGAAAACTATAAAACACTGTTGAAATAAATAATGAAGCCATGAAATTGCCTAAGTGTCCACCAACTGAAAAAATGGGGGAAAATGTGGACACACACATGGAACACTATTTAACCATAAAAGGATCAAAGTGTGTCATCTGTGTCAACATGCATGAAACTGGCCATCATTGTGTTAAGTGAAACAAGCCAAAGCACAGAAGGACAAGTATTGCATGCTCCTGTTCATATTTAGAAGTCTAAAGTCAGTAGTGCTCATAGAAATTGAAGGTAGAATAGCAATTGCCAGAGGCTTGGGGAAACTTGAAGGGGAGAAGGCATGAGACGGTTTGATCAATAGGTACTGAGATACAATTTGACCTGGCTTCCCCACTGCCCAGCATGATGACTACAGGTCATGACAATGAGGTAGTATATATTTCAGGAATGAAGAAAAGATTTTAAGTGTTTTAGCATTAAAATATTACAAATGTTTGAGGATCTTGGTAGGCTTACCTTGATTGAACATTATATCATCTATCTATGTATCAAAACATACACCATAAATATTAACAATCATCATTTGTCAGTGGATATTTTTTAATTCAATAAAAGAAATAAAGACAGATACACACAGAAAGAAGTATCTGTATTGACAAGAAGACAACATTATTGTGATGTCAATACTATTCAAAGAATATACATATTCAAGAAAATACCTATCAACAATCCTTTACACAAAATGGAGAAGAGCTGTTCTTAAGCTCATATGTAATTGCAAGGGTCCCTCAAAACTGCAACAATCTTTAAAAAGATGAATAAAGTTAGAAGACTAACACCACCTCAAGACTGACTACAAAGCTACAGTCACTTACACAGTGTTGCACTGACATAGAGACAGGCTGGCCAGCACAGCAGAATGAACAGCCAGAAATAAACCCTCACGCATACATTCAATTTATTTTTGAGAAGGTATCACAACCATTAGAAGGAAGAGGGTGGTCTTTTCAACAAATGCTGTGAGAAAAACTGGATGCCCACTTGCAAAACACATAGATAACCAATTTGTATATTTTGTGTATGACTTTCTCTTGCACAGCATCCATATATTAAGCTTTAGCTACTAGCATAGAATAAGGAGTACATTGAGGGTCCAGGTGCAAGTACACATCCTGTTCTTAGAATCTCTGAGGAAAAGTCAAGGGTGTTAGTCAGACATAATAGTTTTAAAATCCCAACTACATATGGCAGTGGTCAGTTGCCTCATCCTTGGAATACAAAGCAGGCTAGACATGGTTTTATTTTTCATACAAGTCAACCCTGTTCTGATGTACACACACACCGGCAAGTGTGGAGGGGTTTTCTCCTTTGATTTCAAGCATCCATACTCAAGTGTGTTTACTATCTCCCTGACTGTTGCATTTAGGTCTCACAATGGGAGCAAGCAGAGCAACTAATGTCTGGGACTTATGTTCTGGGCCCTCGTGGATCCCTATCTAGAAAGATGTCCTAATTATGGGACCAAATAAGAATTAAAATTGAGGGACTAGAACTTAGTAAAGTTACTTCTAGAAAAGCCAGTCTTGAGATGCCCCCTGAAGATGCCTTCTTTATAGGCATCTGGCAGCATCCTGGTAGCAAGCCTCCTCAGCTACTTAGAGGTGGAAAATCTCATATGGTGTGCGCCATAGCTGGCACCCTACAATTTCCAGAGACACAAATCACACAAGTCAGATCACCTGGAGAGGAGTGAAGACTCAGAGCCCTAAATGTGTCTGTGATGCTATTCTAACATAGGATCCTAAACAGCCAACTTCAACAAGCAGTGAGTGACACCCCACAATGGTCCTTGCTTCCAGCAACCAGGACAGTTGTTCAATCAGCTGAATCGATTTACTTAGCTCACAAACACCAGGAAAATATGGCTGTTCTGGGAGAGGTGGAGGAAGCCAAAGGAAAGGAATTTATGTTCCATTTTATGAGGACCAAGGAAGCATTTGCTCCTCTTCTCACTCAGGGGACCCAGATATGGATATGTGCCACTGTCTTTCAGGCTAGTGTATCTCTCTCCTAATATAGTAGTTGCTCATGGACATTTCAAGAGAACTGATCATAATTCAGTTTGGGGCAAAGTGTTTGCTTGTCTGGATTCCAGTTCAATAGTGCTCTCCTCATCTCCTGTGATGGCCAAAGACTGCATGGTTCATTTTCATCAACGTGTAAATTCTCTACTCATAGCCTAAGTGTGTTTAATCCATTTCAAAGATAGCTTTATTTATAATAAAGTTTAGATTAACCAAAGGACTTAAAATTCAGGTTAAATTATTTGATATAAGATTGGAGTTAATAGAAAATACCTTGAGGTAGCAGCTTGCCTGTGATTGAGACTCTTCCTACAAGCCTGACCCCACTGTGCTGTTCTCAACAGGATTAGCCAGCCCAACCAAACACAGTTTTGCCATCCAAGGACACATCTCTGAGTTCACTGAAAGTCACTAAGTCCTATACAAAATTGTTCCTGTCCGTATCTTCTCAGTTACATGGTACAGCCTCATCAATGCCTGTGGAAAAGAAGCAACCTTAATTCACTGAACACATAGCCATATCTGCCCCCTGAGAAAGGACGTCATTGCTGTAATAAAATTAGGCAACATACAGTAAGATCTCTATAGTAGCAGAGAATAAGGCCCATGTGTAGTTTTGAGCTGTAGAGAATATTGGTGGTAAGAATATTAAACCAACAGACAATATCTGTGCATAATTTACTGACTAGCTCAGCGATGCCAGCTCTGAATCAAGATGAAACAATAAACTTAGTTTACATCAATAGTCGAAATGAAGTTGGCATAAAGAACTAACTCAGAGTAAGAGCACTGATGGACATATGCTCCCTTATACTGAATGCAGAGGCCAACTTTAAAGACGGGGGTAACTAGCTGTGAGAATTCTGTTGTAGGAAATTGAATGTTTAACAATTTGAATGACGTAATTTCTTCCACTAAGGTTTCTAGAAACCTCATGGGAATACAGGCCCAGGAGCCATAATCTAAGATGTGGAAAACAACAGTACCTCAGACTTTAGAATATTTGCATAGACTTATTGATGAAGAAAAAAAATAATACAAAATGTTTTAAAAGCCAAAACTTTTCAACATCATTGTACACCTACCATTTCCTATCTCAGAGCACTTTCTCCCTTTTTTGAGCCTGAGATGCCCACCATTGACTTATTTATGTTTGAAGATTTTTTAATCAGCCCTCTATTAGATGGACCAGTCCCTCGGCACCAGTATCCTCCTCACAGATTCCTTCCTCACAGGAAAGGGAGTTCCCTACCAAACACAAGTGAGACATCCATGGTCAGAGCTCCGGGCTGTCTCATCAGCTCCTTTGGGATCTCAGGGAGGTGGTTTCTATCTGTGGCTTAAGCATATTCAAATGCCTTTGTTCACATGCGAAGGCACATATGCAAGAAACTGCTGCCCTCAGACTGGCTGGTTCGCATAATCAGGTTAATGTGTTAAAAAGAACTTGACACAGAAATTATTAATGAGCAGAACAAGGTCACTACTTCTGAGCTGGGGTCACTTACAAAGAACGCACAAATGAAATTGAGGTTGGCTTCTGTGTACTTGGCTATTTTCTTACACTGGATTCCTTTGGCAACCTATCTTTAAACATTTAACGCCATGTTTACAAGGAGGCTCTGAGAGAGCTTCAAACCATTATGCCCCTAATTGAATTCCCCAGGAGTCCAGTAAACTCAGAGGAAAAAAGAAAAATCATAACATTTGCTAAATCATCTCAAAGCATATTTCACTACAAGGTTATGTGACCTGCTTTTTTTTTTTGAGGTTCAAGGATGAATGAAGAATATTACTGAATGCTTCATTATTTAGACCAAAATCAAAAAGAACTTTACCCATTAGTGGTGAGCTAATTAAATCAGCAGTTTTAACTTTTTTTTTTTCTAAGAGAAATCTTACAAAAAAAAAAAAAGAAAGAAAGAAAAAACAACAACAGCAGCATTTTCTACAGTGTGTGACCAGTTTCCTGGTGTGTGAAAGCTCAGTGGAGAAAGAAAAGATCTGTGGACAACCAAAGACACAGCTAACAGTAAAGGGGTGTGTGTGTGTGTGTGTGAGAGAGAGAGAGAGAGAGGAGAGAGAGAGAGAGAGAGAGAGAGAGAGAGAGAGAGAGAGAGAGAGAGAGAAGCAAGAACAGCGCAGGACTTCATCTGTGAGTTCAGAACAAAGTCAAACAGGAGACGAGAAAGTAAAAGTTCTAGAGATCAATTAGTTATTACAATGCCCTGCCTCGCCAGCTCTGCTTTTACTTTAAAATAGACTTTTTGTTTTGTTTTGTTTTTAGCCATAGCTCCCTTGTCTGCTCCTGTGTTTGTTGTGACTACTGAGCAAAAACATATGGGCCTGAGCATTTCCAAAACTGTGTCGCCGCGGCTCTCCACTTACCTGGCTTGTATGTTATTCCAGGGGGGAAGAGGAATCCCTGTTGGGCGGCAGCAGCTGCTGCCAGGGTCCGCTGGTCATGTGGAAAAATTGGGATCATGAGCGGAGGCATGTGCCCCTGAACCTGCTAAACAGAAGAGAGCCTGTGATCAGAGAGGGAGCAGATGTCGCCAAGACGCGTTTGTTTTCCACTGCTGGAGGTGCTCTGGTACCCACACAGCCACCCACCTCTAACCTCTTTCCAGATCTGAAGCTGAGAAAATTCAGGCAAATTTCACCTAACCCCTCCTGGAATGCCATTAGGACCTCAGTGCCACCATTTCACCATAGACCGACCACATCCCTGCTCTCACTACAAAGTGGTTAATAGCCTTCTCTCTTGACTTGTTTTTCTCACCTTCTTTCTTGAAAGAAAGAAGAGGAAAACTAAATGTTCTTTTCTCTCCCCCTGTGGGTGAGTGGTTTTGCCCTCTCCCCTGCATTGCATTCTAAGCATCATTGTGAAAAAGTATTCCGTGTCCTTGTCCAGAAAATAATGTCTAATTGTTATATATTCCAGAAGCTGTGTCTCCCTCATTGAGGAGCTTCTTCCAAAGCCTCACTGCATTATATTAAACACACAGAGCTTCAGATTTAAGGCTACTATATCTTGGCGCCCAATTAAACTAATATCCTTTGCCATACACACCTCGATGTAACATATAAATTGCTTGTCAGCTTTATGCACTGCCATGTAGCTCAGTAATTATGGAGTTGTATCCACTGAGCAACTCATAATAAATCCTACTATATCAGATTTCATTTGACCTCAATAAATGTATCAAAGACCACAAAAATGCAAAAGAGAAAAATATTCACTCTACATCAGTATTTGTACTCCATATAAAGGAAATCAGAGCTATGACAGAATCATGCTCCTGAAAATCACATTTTAATTTCCTAGCTCCCTTCTTCACTAGCATGCTGCCCTGGTTCCAGCAGAGCAGAGCTGGAAGGCTTTGTCCTGGCTTTGGGGGCCTCATTCCATAGGCTAGCTATGGGACTTTCCTCATTTAAAGACCAGAACAGAAATGTGTCAAAAGGCATGGTCTTTTGGTTCAGAGAGATCTATGGCTTTTTACTAGCATGAAAGGGCTATGTGATATACTATTTAAGATATAAATGTTTGCCAGCAATTCTACAAACCCAAGCACTTCCTCTGTCTAAATTTCTAAATCTCTTCTTTAGGCAGAGTACCACATATGAGCTGATGCCCCTATCTAAAGGGTACCAGCTTGCCTTCTCTTGGCCCTGACCCTGCACAGCCAGAGACATCGTGCAAATGCTTCTGTATGGGTCTGAGAGGTTTCATTTGCCAATCGTCTTTCTCTGGGGAATGCCCTAACATGTAGGTTAATAAAGGGCAAGCAAAAAATAAACACTTTACAGTATTTTTTCTGAATTCATTTCTCAGGAAAATCAACTTACAATAAAAAGGTCTTTGTGCAATTACTACCTTGCCAGTGGGGCGTGAAAGAAACTAGCTTTGAGCAGCTATTTCTTCTCTTTTAGCTGAGGTAAGCCCAAGCTTTGTACATGGGAGAACAAACTTTGCCTGCTTAAATTGGTACTGAACCTCTCTCTAGTGCCCGTGTCTCCCCTTTAGCCTGGGAGAAAGGCACCAGATTTGCTGTCCAACCCCAGTTTTCTGTGACCCTGTACACATGTGCAATGTTCAAGATGAAAGCGACGTATTACATGCCAGAAAACAAAGCACAATATCACTATGAGTGACCACTGCTCATCAAAGAACATCCTTTCATGGTCCTCCAGAAGTGTGGTACTCACATGTGCCTCGAGTACCATACAGATGCTTTACCCTGAAGAGGAGGCAACATGTTGTTTCTTTTTTTCTTTCTTTTTTTCACCTAGCAATGAAATAAATTGCTACTGTGTATTAGGGATTTGAGAAGCAACTGAAAAAAAAATCACCCCACTCAGCGAGAGAGAGAGAGAGAGAGAGAGAGAGAGAGAGAGAGAGAGAGAGAAGAGAATAACATGTGATGTGTCATGTATGGAAGATGATGCTGAGACTGAGCAGTTACAGGGACAGAACTAGTCTCAAGATGGCTTTTAGGGAAGCATTGTACAAAGATGAATTTTCTGATAAATTTTTCCAAAATTAGCTCTGAGATGGGACAACACCTGCCCTTTCCCTAGAAGTGCTGTATATTTCTACATAAATGTGTGTATGTATGTCTGTGTGTGCATGTGTCTGTGTGTGTGTGTGTATGAAAATACATATACAAAACATATGAAGCCATTCCAACTTTACAATTCTATGATTACTAAAAAGCTGCCATCAGGAAGATAGCGGCAGTGGAGTGCCACAAATGGGGCATCTACATCACCCCAGCTTCCCAAGGCTCAGAAACCATCACAGAAGAGGGAGCAGAAAGGTTCTAAGAGGTAGGGGTCAGTGAAGATGGGAGAAAAATAGTGTGTTCAGATGTGACAGGATTGAGCCCTCAGGAGTTCACAGCAGCTGTGGCTGCCTGCACAAGATGAAGTCAGTCACCATCCTAGCATAGAAGGGGAAGTTCATGAGCCTCTACCTCTAACTGAGGAGCTATAGACAGGTGATCGTTTCTGGGCACAGAGAATCAGTTTTCTTTAAGGATCTGGTCCCTGTAGATTGACCATGCTCCAGGTGATGGTCTCACACTCAGGAAGTATGGGCAGTACCAATTGTACTAGAAGAATTATTTTAAAAGTGATGGGGTAGGAGAGGCTGTGGAGATGGCTCAGCAGTTAAGGGCACTCGCTGCTCTTGTGGAAGACAAAGTTTGGTTTCTAGCACCCACATGGAGTCTTGCAACCATCTATTACCACAGATCCAGGGGACTCGATGCCTTCTTTTAGTCTCAGTGGGCACAAGGCATACATGTGGTACACATAGGTATGTCCAGGCAAAATGTTCACATGCAGTAGGTATAGAGAGGTAGGGATAGATCTGGGGGGCTGAGGGAAGACTGGAAGAACAGGGTGAACGTGACCAAAATTCATTGTGCTACAAGAATTAACAAAAATACTTTTAAAAGAAGATAGTGTGATACATTTCCTTCATTTATTCAACATGTATTTATTGAAAACTTACAATGTCTTTGTTAGTGAACAAGCCCAAGTCCGTACCCTACATTTCCTGAGCTGTGTAGTCTTAAAAGACTTAACTCTCCTGACCCTATTTGTCAAATCTGTGAATGCTGACTAGGCACTTGACACAGTCATTGTGAGGATATGACAGACAACCAAAGCCAAGACTGAGCACATTCTCTAACGTAATAGTGTGGTTATATTATAGTCAACATTAGCTCTTTGGATTTTTTGTATACTTAGCAACAGGAAATTATCAAATGGATAAGCAGAAAAACGTGGATCTTCCCATAACTCTACTTCAAGAAGGAAAACATGAACTAAGTCCTTCATTTGAGAGAGCAGAGACTTGTCATGCACTTAGCAGACAATGTGCCTCAATGAGTGTAACCCAGTCCCAAGCTTCTAGAAAACCATGAGAAAGAAGAGGTGGAATAACAAGGACTGTCTGGAGATGAGACATGGGGGTCTCTACTGTTCCTTGTTAAGTACCATCTTAGAATGAAATCGAATTTAATTTTCCATTAGTCATGATCAGGGGTGCAGACAACACAAGGAACAGCTGGCAGGGGCCAGGCCTTAGCTCTTGACTGGGATTGTCCATCTGAAAGTACTGCTCTTGCAGTAAATGGATGTGGTTGTTTTCATTTTTGTTATGTATATGATGTGTTTTTTATGGTGTCTGTAGTGTGAATATGTATGTTCATGTATGTGAAGCCTGTGTGTCTGGATAAGTGCACCTATGAAGGTCAGAGGACAACCCTGGGTGCTAGTCCTCAACTTTCACCTTCTTTAAGACCATCTTTGTTGTTGAACACTGCAAATGCCAGGCTAGCTGGCCTGTAAGCTTCCAGAGAGTCTCCTGTTTCTGCCTCCCAGCTCCTTCTTAGAGTACTGGGATGATAGATGTGTGCTATCACACCCAGCTTTATGTAAGTTCTGGGAATTCTAACTCAGATCCTCAGATTTGCACAACAAATGCTTTGCCCACTGAGTGATCCCTCCACTCCCTAGGATTGTTTTTAATACTAAATACATAAGTGTAGGTGTTTCATTCTGTAAGAATTTGGGGTCATTCCTTTCTACTATACTCTACAAATTAAGAAGTTTAAAAAAACAAAACCCTCATTGACAACTATTATCCAGAGGATGTTTCCTTAAAGAGGAGGGAATAGAGACAATTTGAGAGCAGTAGTGCTAACAGAACTAGAGTTGGACTGGAACGCAGAGAAGATCTAGGCTGGTAGTTGACAAAGTGAAGTGTCTGGCCAACAGCATCAGCAGTGTTTTCATAGAGCATTTCTCCAGATCCACAGCACATCTTCTGAGTCATATGCTATGAGGTGAGGTCCAATGATCCAAGTATTAAAACCAAAATTTCATGGAGAATAGTGATGTTTTGGTGTGCATCCAAACACACCAGAGGGTTCTTTAAAACAGACAATGCTCTACCCCAGGCTTATGGACTTGGGGAATCTTTGTATTGGAGTCAAAGCTGGAGAATGGACATTTCTGAGCAGCTCCCAAATAAAGCTGCTATTGCTGACCCAGGGACCAGTCCTTGAGAATTCGCATTTTAGTCCAATCCTCAAATTCAACACACAAGGAAACAGACCACTAGATCACTTAAGATACAAGCATCTGACAGCTGAACCTAGAGTCCAGAACTGCCAATCACTCCAGCCAGTATGTTTGTTATTACATGGTGACTTCAGTAATAGTAAAAAGAGAGATCGGTTTTAGTCAAGGGACCTACAGGTCTCCCATTGACAGTAATTCTGCATGTCAGGACCATATTCTTGGAGACAGTTTTTGAGTTCGGATAATGTAAACATTGTCAAATTTTAAATAAAGTTTCTTCTGTTCTCTTGTTGTTACCCTGAATTTATTTGCTCTTGATATTTACTGTCATGAATTCCAATCACTGATTACAACACATTCATTAGCTATGATCATTTAGCTCCACAAAATGAAATTGTCCTTAACATTTTA